TGATGCACAGTTTTGCCCAGAAGGACGGATCGGGGACGGGTGTACTCCGCTTCCCAGATGTTGCGGTGTGATCGCGCCCGCTTGATTCGTCCCCGGTCCGTCCCTCTCGCATGGCAAATCCTCCCGTGTGACCGGGGCCTCTGGTTCTTTGTCTTTGCATCTGCAGTAAGAAATCTAGTGCCTAAATCGGTGATCCTACTACCATAATAGTAATGTTGGTAGGTTTGGTGTAGTGCTTAAGTGTGTGGACTCTAAACTGGGAGAACCGGGTTTGATTCCCATTTCCTCCACTTGCACCTGCTGGATGACCTTGGGCAAGCCATAGTTCTGGCACAGTTGTTCTTGAAAAAGAGCAATTTCTGTCAGAGCTCTCTCAGCCCCACCTACATCACAGGGTGTCTGTTGTGGGGAGGGGGAAGGAAAGGAGATTGTAAGCCGCTCTGAGACTCCTGTGGGTAGTAAAGGGTGGGGTATAAATCCAATCTCTTCTTCTTCTACTACTACTTCTACTGTGAGCCAGTCTTGCAGGGATGACTCCGTAGGTCATCCTGGGAAGGTCAGGAGTCTGTCCTTTGGCTCCTGACTGGAGGGTCATAGAAGGACTGATGGCAGACTACCTATGTTGGAGGTGCCCAGGTGCCTACAACACCTTTGGCAATTGACAGCGAGCCAGCCTCTTGGCAAAAAGGTCTCTAGCCTGGGCTGGGCAGCGAGACCTTTTGACAGCACGGAAGTTCATAAAATGTTCATGACAAGCGCCCTTCTGTTACCCCAGTAGGTGTCTCCTTATTAATTGGGGAAAATTAGCTCTTTGCAGACAGAGCTAGAGGGAGCAGCAACAGAATCATCATTCAGCACTTTTGTATAAACAGTCTTGATGGTAAAATAAGTAGTCTGACGGTAACTTGGGAGATTTTATTGCAAGAAATACTGAAATGATAAAACACGCATCCGGAAAAAACCCACTCTGAAAACACACAAGGCTAACTAAAGGGAGCAGAGAGTAACAGGGATACAGAACTGAGAAATGGGGTTATATTTACCAGTGTTGCGGAATGAAGTCCATGGAAGAAGGCAACGAGATGACCAGCATCATAGGAGTGGGGTCTGGATCCAGGAGAACACATATACACACTGGGGTTAAGGTACCCTTGATATAGGAAAAACGTACTTGGAAGCAGAGTGACATATGTTGCCAAGAACAAAATCTTAGAATCATAGAAACTTAGAGTTGGAAGGGACCTTGCAGGTCATCTAGTCCAACCCCCTGCACTCTGCAGGAGCACAGCCGAAAGATAGCCCTACAACATACCTGAAAGAGGGTCGTCCAGCCTCTGCTTGAAAACGTCCAGTGAAGGAGCATCTACCACCTCCCGAGGCAGTCTGCTCCACTGCTCAACTACTCTTACAGTTAGGAAGTTTCTCCTGATATTAGCCGGTAAGGACTGCCTTGTAATTTCCTCCCATTAGATCTGGTCTTGCAATCCAGAACAAGAGAGAATAGATCTGCTCCATCTTCTACATGACAGCCCTTCAGATACTTGAAGACTGCAATCGTGTCCCCTCTAAGCCTTCTCTTTCCCAGGCTAAACAGACCCAACTCTTTCAGCCTTTCCTCGTAAGGCTTGGATTCCAGCCCTCTCACCATCCTGGTTGCCCTCTTCTGGACACGCTCGAGCTTGTCAACATCCTTCCTAAAATCTAGACAGGAGACCAAAAGGAGCACCACCGGAACTCAGGACCTTGGGCAAATCCACTACTGTTCAACTCCAGCACCCAACAGGGAATCACACTAGCTGGGGAAAGGAATGACTTCTGCTCCTTGTTCCTCCCCTGTGAAAAGGAGTCTAGTGGCATTGAGGGGAAGTGGTGGTAGCTACAAGTATAGACAGCTTTAAGAGGGGACTGGATAAACATCTGGAGCAGAGGTCTATCAGTGGCTGTTAGCCACACGGTACAGAGGGAGCACTCTGTCTGGGGCAGTGATGCTCTGTATTCTCGGTGCTTGCGGGGGGGCAACAGTGGGAGGGCTTCTGGAGTTCTGGCCCCGCTGGTGGATTTGGCCACAGGTTCAAGGCACCTGGGATTTGGCCACAGTGTGACACAGAGTGTTGGACTGGATGGGCTGTTGGCCTGATCCAACATGGCGTCTCTTATGTTCTTATGTTAACATTCCCACGTGCTCCTGTTCCCAGGGATTGTATGAATGCCACTTCATCCTCTCTTTTCCCACCAGGTTCACCTTGCTCCCCACCGGCATCCTGCAGATCACGGGCGTGAGACGTTCCGACGTGGGCACCTATCGCTGTGTGGCCAGCAACATCGCCAACACCCGCTATAGCCAAGAAGCTACCCTCAGCATCAGCGGTGAGCATCTCCCCCTCTCCCCAAATTATGGGAGAGCACCAGGCCAGAATTGGGCGGGGGTCTGCAAAGGAGTGTATGGGTGCATGTCGAGTGAGCTAAAAGCTGGGGAAACGGAGGAGGGGATGAGGTGTTCTATGGCTTTCTCAAGGGATCAGTCTTTCCCAAGAGATACATTTACAATACTCCCGTCATAGTTATTGGTCTTTCCCAAGAGCTAACTATGACGGGAGGGTTGTAAATGCATCGATATCTCTTAACGACCCCATGATTTATGGAATGGGAGAGGATACCAAATGTGAAGTATTGCTTTACTGGGGTAGAAAGGGACTTAATTAAAAGAAAACAGTCACTTCTATGCAGGACCTAAACCAAGGCTGCCGTTACACGGAGCATTTGCCGTGCTGACGATACGGATGGTAGGTGGATTTTCCGGGCGCGATCACACTGCAACATCTGGGAAGCGTAGAGCTCGCGTGGCTAACCCAAGGCTTCCCGCTGAAGATGCGGAGTAAAAAACTAGTACCTCCGAGGTACTAGTTTCCGGAAACTGCAGGCCAAGGGTGGGCGTCTGATTGCATTTCCAGTGGACTTACGTGGCATCTGGCACCTGTCTCCGCAGCTTGCGCAACAGCACCAACAGCACATGCGCACAAAGAGCGATTACTAGTGTGATCGCGCGGTGCGGCTTCTGTTCCACGCTGCAGGATACCCGTCAAGTCGGCATCTCCCCCCTAACCACGGGACCTCGACCGGGACGTGTGCTTGGGCAGCCGCACGTTAGTTTCCTCCGGGGCAATTAACCACCATCCCCCCCGCGATATCCGGCCCGTGTGACTGGGGCCCCCGTGTTGTTTCTCCAATAAATCCACTCTTTGGGGGTGAGAGGAATGTCTTGCAAATCAGCCCTTTGGATCACTTACCAAATACCTTTCTCATGCTGGTTTCATTTCCTGCTTGGCATTCAGGGTGTCACTCAAGCCAAGCAGTGTCTTATAATCATGATATCAGGAGTGATTTTTCTATAAAAAAAGGTGTATGGTATTACTTCCTTTGTGAAAAAAAACCAACTGCCCCTCTGTAGAATGGTGCTGACTGCTAACACTTTCACGAACACAGCTTCATGAACCATGAACCAGCCAAAATTCATGACGAGCTTTAGCGTGTGAGCCGGTTCATGCCCATCCCTAATTCTAGACCCCGACCGTTTGTCTTTTTTATCCTGTAAAAGAAGAACTTTGACTCTTGAGCTGTGATCACACACACTAGATAATCCACTTTCAATGCACTTTCCAACGGGATGTTGCCAGTTCACACAGGCTGGTTCTGCATTGGCTTTTCCCTCCATTGTTTTACCAAACCAAAGTTGGAACAGAAATTCCCCTCTGCATTGCATGCCACTTTCCCTTCCTTTGATCATCGGATTTTATTGTACCTTCCGCATCGATTTATGGCCATTTTATAGCCACTCAGGAGTGACTTTGCAGCCAGTAGGGCATTGCCCTGAGGTTTTTGAATGTGGTTTTGAGCTGCACTTTTCCTCCCAGTTGAGAAAATGTGGAGTGAATGCTAGATGCAGAATCGCCCACAGTAAAACCCAGTTGGAAAGTGCATTGAAAGCAGATTCAAAGTGGATTATTGAAAGTGTGATCGCAGCCTTGTTCTCTTTTGCTTGCATCCGATGGTCATCAGAGGCCCCGTTCACATGAACGGTTTTGGGCCGGGAGAGGGACGGATCGGGGGCGCAGCAAACGGGAGCGATCCCACTGCAACATCTGGGAAGCATTGCGCACCCGTCCCCGATCCGTCCCTTCACCCAAAAAGCCGCAGCAAAAATAAACCACCTACTGAGGTGGTTTTTCCAGCACGCTGCATCAAAGCCTGGCCGTGGGATCGCCGGTGCGTCCTTCTGCCGGCGCATCCCCGGCTCCTGGCTTAACTGCGCATGCTCAGACATGCGCAGTTCGGCAGTCTCCCTTTCTCCACTGTGGCTTTCCCCAGCATCTGATCCTGCCGGGGAGGGAATGCGCCGTGGCTCAGGGGATCAATGTGATCCCGCCGCTGCATGTTTCTTTTGGTGCGGCTTTATAAAGCCGCACTTTCGCCCGTTCCTTTCCGCCCCGTGTGGCAGGGACCTTATTAAAACTGATTGCCCTGATAGCCTAAAACCTTGAGTGAATCTTTTTCTCTCCCAGATAGATCTCAGGAATAGGGGGGAGGAGGTTATATTAGGATTTTGAAAACTCTCCTAACAAGAATCTAATGCAGAAAATAAGAGCCAAAAAACCAAAAAGAAGGATAAGGGCAGTGTTCCCTCTAAGCTGAGTTAGTGTGTGCTAGCTCACAGGCTTTTAGCCTCCGGCTCACACATTTCTGTCTCCGCTCAGGAAGGAGGGCACCAAAGCCAACTAATTGATGCAGGAGCCAAATCACTCGCTCACAACTTTAATGCCAGTGGCTCACATGGTAGAACTTTTGCTAACAAGACTCTACGGCTTAGAGAAAACATTGGTCACGAGATGAAACATTCAGATATTTCCCCCCAAAAAACAAGGCAAAAAACCCAAACATTTAATGGAATGGTCAGGTATTAGAAGATCATTCTCCCTGGAATAATAGACGTCCAAGGTTGTGAAGTGTATACAATCATTTAATTACATACGACATGTGAAAACTTGTGTGTAGAAACAGGACATGTAGGAGAACATTGTTCAAAAGAGGTCAACAACCGTGCTCTGAAATCACACAGCATTAACGTGCGCTGTCGTAACAGAGGCACCTACAAAAGGGGCAACACCTATGGATTTAAACAATAACATTAATAAATTAACAAGGCAAGAATCGGTTATGAGCCAGTGGCTTCAATCTTCCTGGAACGGAACAGGAAGAACAAAGATCTGCTCCCACTGATCCACTCCTAAGTCTTCATTTTGGAGGGGGAGTCCTCGGTTTTGATGGTCTTCAGAACCATTTGGTCGCGGAGGAATATTTTTTACCGGTGGTTGAGATCTTTACATTCTTAGCAAGCTTCTTTGGGGAAGAGTAAGTGCCTGTAGGAATCAGGGATGGCTGGGAGCCCTTTGCCAAGCTTACCCGGGAGCCCTTTGCCAGGTTGGGCTGGGAGCCCTTTGTCAAGCTTGATTGTGACTGCGAAATTTTATTCCGCCATAATCGTGAAGGTTTCATTATACCTAAGCGTGGGACTTTTGTTGAAATTAGCCGTGGAGCTCTGGCCGCCCCTGATGTGCTCTTTTTCACCTGTGACAGTGCGTGCTTTGCTGCCCGTGACAGTATCCCCTTGGCCCCACGTACCTGTGAGCTATTAGTAACATATGGCTCTGGTCCCTTGGTTGCATATATTACTGGTCCCTTCGTCATACGTGGGAGGGGGACTTTATTCTCACTTGGATTTGGGGTGCTGGTTGAATATAATACTGGGTCCTTGGTCAAATGTGGTAGCAGGTCATTGTTCACATAGGGCTTTGGAGTCTTGGTTGAATATGTTACCGGGCCTTTAGTCATATGTGGCAGAGGGATCCTGTTTACATGGGTTTCCAACCCCTTTGCAATGGTACCATGTCGAACTCTGGTCATGCCGCTATACGTCAAAAAAGATCGCGGACTCCTGAGTGATGCCCGTGCTAATTTCCTGGTTAAATTGACTTCTGGGTACTTCGTTGTAGTTGGTTCTGGGCACACGGATACCCGTCGAGGTTGATACCTGGTGGTCGGATACGGTGGAGGGCGAGGGGGTGCACAGCGGCGTTCGTCATGTGCTGGGATGCATATGGACAGAGGATATTTGGACCCATAGAGTGGAACATACCGTGGCCCAAAGTACATCGGCCCTTTCTTCACAAACGGTAGTGACATTGTATTTCGTTGTCTATAATATGTCATCTTTTTGGCTGGCCCGGAGATACCTAGGAGAAGGAACAAAATGCTAATTATTATTTGCATGCCTATCGAACCACCATGTCAAAGATCTGCGGTTAAGCAAGGTTATGTTACATGATGACACTGAGGGATTCCTCCTTAGCAGACCAATCTGGTGTCTACTAAGGGATGGACTTTGAGAAGAACATAAGAGAAGCCATGCTGGATCAGGCCAATGGCCCATCCAGTTCAGCTGACTCACGTTCATAATTGGTCATTCGACCTGGCTTTCAGCTTCATTTCTGATGCTTGATCTCCCACGCTTGCCCCGGTCAGCATCACTAAATCTCTCACAGCACAGAGAACCGTCGGAACGAAGAGGTGCCTCAATTCTCCGGCATTACGCCTTCGAAGAGGCAACCTCTTAGAAGTTCCATGGCCAGAGTCCCTTCCCCGGATCTCTGGGGGGGTAAGCGAACCTGCGCACCCCCTCCTTCGGCTGGAGCGCAGCTTCACCCCCGGGAGGTCCGGGAGGTGAGTCTGCTAGCATGCCGCCATAAACCGGAAGTCCTCCTTACCAGTCCAATCTGGTGTCTACTAAGGGATGGGCTTTGAGAAGAACATAAGAGAAGCCACGCTGGATCAGGCCAATGGCCCATCCAATTCAGCACTCTGTGTTAAACAGTGGCCATAACCTAGGTACCATCACGAGGTCCACCAGTGGGGGCAGAACTCTGAAAGCTCTCCCACTGTTGCCCCCCAAGCACCACGACAACAGAGCATCACTGCCCCAGACACAGGAACATAAGGAAAACCATGCTGTATCAGGCCAATGGTCCATCCAGTCCAGCACTCTGTGTCACACAGTGGCCAAAACCCAGGGGGCATCAGGAGGTCCATCAGTGGGGCCAGAACTCCAGAAGCCCTCTCATTGTTGCCCCCCAAGCACCAAGCAGACAGAGCATCACTGCCCCCAGGCACAAGAACATAAGAGAAGCCATGCTGGATCAGGCCAATAGTCCATCCAGTCCAACACTCTGTGTCACACAGAGGCCAAAACCCAGGTGCCATCAGGAGGTCCACCAGTGGGGCCTGAACTCCAGAAGCCCTCCCACTGTTGCCCCTCCAGGCACCGAGAAGACAGAGCATCACAGCCCCAGGCAGAGTGTTCCATCTACACCTTGTGGCTAAGAGCCACTGATGGACCTCTGCTCCATATGTTTATCCAGCTCCCTCTTGAAGCTGTCTATGACTAGCAATGCATCCTGGTGGGAATGACGGGAGCACCTACGAATGCCCACATTGCTCCCGGATGTTGGCTAAAGTAAAATCTAAAGTGAATCTGAAGGTTCTTCCTCGGGGAAAACGTTTATGCACAATGAGGTTTACGCCCAAATAAATATGCATCGTGTCTGCATGAAAGCAATGTAGGACCACATGCATATGCAGTTCCTCGTTACCTATCGAAAAGCACTCCTGTTATTGGGATGGACCCGATGCAAGGAGACTGCGAGGATCCCGGACCTTCCCAGCTTCCCCCTTCCCTTAGCAGTCATTTTTTGTACTCCGGGAACATTAATTCCCAGGTTTGCAGCATCCGAGTGGAGCAGCAGCCGCACAGGTCAGGAGGCTATAGTAACAACAGCGGCGAAATCATTCCCCTGTTCCTCCTTTGTCAATGGAACGCCACATGCCAGCCCTGTTTTCAAATTCCAGTGAATGCATGCACGATCTGTGTACAGTATACCCTTGATTTTTCTATTTACGCGTTACATCAGGGTTGGGAATGGGGACGTGAAGGGTATGATATTGTGTGCGATGTTGCCTGCACCATGATGTCACTTCTGGGGGGGGGGGGACAAGAAGTGATGTACGGTAATTCTAAGAATTCGCTCACAATTTTAATGCCAGCGGCTCACAAAGTAGATTTTTTGCTCACAAGACTCCACAGGTTAGAGGGAGCATTGATCATGAGCACATTTCCCATTATCTAGCACATAGGCGTAATCTTCGTGGGGGCGGCGGGGCTTCACCCTCCCCCGAAATTTTCAGGAAAGTGCTCAGCTTCCCCCGGGGGCTACCCTTGCTCCTAGCAGAGCAATGCCTCTAGCTCAGCCCCAGCCCCCCCCCCAGAAATGGGAAAGTCTACACCCTTGATCTAGCACTCCTACTTACAAAGTCTTGTTTAAGGATTGGCGTCCGAGCATCATTTTTAAACTATGCCACTTGGCAGTGTTCCCTCTAAGCTGAGTCAGTGTGAGCTAGCGCACAGTTTTTTAGCCTCCGGCTCACATATTTTTGTCTTAGCTCAGGAAGGAGGGCTCCAGAGCAAACTAATTTATGCAGCAGCCAAACTGCTTGCTCACAACTTCAATGCCAGTAGCTCACATAGTAGAATTTTTGTCCACAAGACTCCACAGCTTAGAGGGAGCATTAGTTACTATTGATATTGACTATAAAATCCCAAAGTAATTCATGCAGTAGCCCAATCGCTCACTCACACCTGTAATGCCAGGAACTCACAAAGTAGAATTTGTGCTCACAAGACTCCACAGCTTGGAGGGAGTATTGCTGTCAGGTAATAAATACCATTGCATGTCCATGGTGAAAGTCTGCATACTACTGCATGTCTGTCAAAGGCTCTCCAGAGGCTGATTGCATATCGCGTGAACTATCAAGTACTGTCATCAATCAAAATCGATCACACAGTAAGTACCTCTGGACCTCAAATGCCACACTGTATGAAATGTCAATGCCAAATGGTCGGTGATCGTGCAGAGAATATCTGCTGAATACGGGACATCAACGTTTGCAAGGAACCAGCTTTATTTACCTACACAGTGGAGAACTTGACTTCCCCCAAACCAAAGTACTACTTCTATGAGACTCCTCACCAGCCTGCAGATAAGACAAACCCATTGTGGTACTAGGGATGGCATCATTAACATATGAAATACCAGGATCAGCAAAATCAATGAGCAGCTTCCGAACAACTTCACAAGTGGTACAGAAAATGCATCCTTCTGTCATAGATAGTTGAGGGTCCCATGCACTTGTGAATCTTAGGAAATGGTAAAAAAGAGCAAGAATCCAGGAGCACCTTAAAAACTAACTAAATATGTGACAGGGTATGAGCTTTTGTGAGTCACTGCTAATGCTCCCTCTAAGCTGTGGAGTCTTGTGGGCAAAAAATTCTACTTGGTGAGCTCCTGGCATTAAAGTCGTGAGTGAGCAGTTTGGCTACTGCATAACTTAGTTTGCTCTGGAGCCCTCCTTCCTGAGCTAAGACAAAAATATGTGAGCCGGAGGCTAAAAAAACTGTGAGCTAGCTCACACTGACTCAGCTTAGAGGGAAGGAAATGGTGTTAAAGGTTATTACCAGTGTTCCCTCTAAGCTGATTAGTGTGAGCAGCTCTGGGCTGACTGGGCTTCTAAGTAACAATGGATGCCACCGACCTTCCAGACGCAACTTCAAATATATTTCCTCTCAAAGTGGAAATAAATAATCCGTGGAAAGCAGACGGGGTGCTCCGCTTGAGAGAAAGCAGGCGTCACGAGCAGGGGAAATTGCATTTTTTCCCCCTCACACAACATCCACCAGGCCAGCAGTATCGTTCGAGATCAGCCCTTGAAGGTCTAGTCATGGCAAAACTGGAAATGCCAGGGATTGAAACTGGGACCTCCTGCATGCCAAGCAGAGGCTCTTCCACTGAGCCACAGCCCCTCTTTACAGCTCTCCAGGGTCTCAGGCTGAGGTCTTTCTCATCACTTACTGCCTGGTCCTTTTACCTGGAGATGCCGGGGATTGAACCTAAGACCTCCTGCATGCCAAGCAGAGGCTCTGCCACTGAATCACAGCCACTCTTTACAGCTCTCCAGGGTCTCAGGCGGAGGTCTTTCCCTTCACCTACTGCCTGGTCCTTTTACGTGGAGGTGTCGGGGATTGAACCTGGGACCTTCCGCATGCCAAGCAGATGCTCTGCCATTGAGCCACAGCCCCTCCCCATCTTGGGTCCGTCAAAGTCAGTGTTGTCTGCCCAGACTGGCAGCTGCTCTCCAGAGTCTCAGGCGGAGGTCTTTCCCATCACCTACTGCCTGGTCCTCTAAGTCGGAGATGCTGTGGATTGAATCTGGGACCTTCTGCATGTAAAGCCCACACTCACATCCTCCAAAGCATCCACTTTCCTCCAGGGGAACTGATCTCTGTTTGGAGAGGAGTAGTAATTCTGGGAGATCTCCAGATCCCACCTGGTGGTTGGTAACCCTCCTCGACCATCAGTGTCGTTTGGATTAAATTGTAGGGGGAAACTTGGCTGCAACTCCAGTGTGGACAAATTCCTCTGGAAAGCCCAGCTCATTCACTCAGGCGGTAGAACCATAGAATCATAGTTGGAAGGGATCTCCAGGGTCATCTAGTCCAACCCCCTGCAGCACAATGCAGGAAATTCGCAAATACCTCCTCCAATACGCACACACAGTGACCCCTGTTCCATGCCCAGAAGATGGAACACACACACACACACACACACACACACACAAAACCAACCTCCAAGATCTCAGGCCAAACTGGCCTGGAGAACAATTGCTTCCTGACCCCAACGTGGCAATTAGCATTTCCCTGGTCATGTAGGAAAGGGCCACAAGAACTAAGCAATGAGACAACCCTCCCTGCCCTCCCTCTCATGAGTCCCAATGTTCCCTCTAAGCTGCAGAGCCTTGTGAGCAAAAATGCTACTTTGTGAGCTACTGGCATTAAAGTTGTGAGCAGACGATTTGACTACTGCATAAATTAGTTTGCTCCAGAGCCATCCCTTCCTGAGCTAAGACAAAAATCTGTGAGCTGGAGGCTAAAAACCTGTGAGCTAGCTCACACTAACTCAGCTTAGAGGGAACGCTACTCATGACCTGCCTAAGTCCACAGAATCAGCATGGCTGTCAGGTGGACATCTAGTCTCTGCTTGAAAACCTCCAAAGAAGGAGAGCCCACCACCACCTCCCGAGGAAGCCTGTCCCGCCGAGGAACCACTCTGTCAGGAAGTTCTTCCGAACGTTTAGCCAAACATTCTTTTGATTTCATTTTAATGTCTCGAGTTCCAGTTCGTTGAAAGCATCTGAAAGGGGGCATCTACCTTTTGAAGCTGTAACGGCTATTACAACAGTGCTTGGCAATAAGGAATCCGACTTACCCGGCTCCCCAGTGCAAACAAGTCCGGATGGAAGTGTGTACGAGCTCCTGAGATCCGAAGAGCTTTTATGTGCTTTCAAAATTCCCCCGAGGGACGTGAGGCATCTCCGTTGAGCGGACGTCACCAGGAGCCTGCAAATGGCAAGTTCAGGCACCTCTTAAGCTCTGGAGAGGTCTGCCTTTCTCCTCCTTTTCTTAAGAGTGTTTTTTTGGCCTTCAATTAAGGCGGCATCCGGTGAAGACAATTGTGGGCTGTTCAACAGCCGAGTCGTCTGGGACTTGAAAAACACCCACGCCCAAAAAGTCAGCGCCGAGGTCATCCAGGATCGAACTGGATGCTGTTGCCCACCTGTGCCTGATGTGTTGTGCATACCTTGTGGCGCATTATCTGTTCTGTTTTTTTCTTGGGATGTAGAGCTAGGGAGGGGAGAGCTGCGTGGCACGCAAGCCCGGCCTTTCTCTGATCTCCGGACTCTCCAAATTCTCATGCAAGCAGAGAGAAAGAAAGGTCAGTAGGAACACTCCTGAATTGCACATACTCTGTTCCTTGTTTTGAGCTCACTCCTCCTATGCAGGAATCAAACTTCCAGTTATTCTTTTTGTGCTATTTTCTGTGTTTTTTTTTGGGGGGGGGGTTGTGCAAATGTCAACATTATTTTTGTGTAATGTAGTAGAGAGCTGCACCAAAGACAGAGAAGGAGAAGGATGAAAAGGAGGAGGAGAAAGAAGAAGAAGAAGAAGAAGAAGAAGAAGAAGAAGAAGAAGAAGAAGAAGAAGAAGAAGAAGAAGAAGAAGAAGAAGAAGAAGAAGAAGAAGGAAGAGGAGGAGGAGGAGTCTAGATTTATACCCCTCTTTTCACTACCCAAGGGAGTCTCAGAGCGGCTTACAATCTCCTTTCCCTTCCCCTCTCCACAACAGACACCCCGGGATGTAGGTGGGGCTGAGAGAACCGGGTTTGATTCCCCACTCCTCCACTTGCAGCTGCTGGATGACCTTGGGCAAGCCATAGTTCTGTCATAGCTGTCCTTGAAAGGGCAGTTCCTGAAAGAGCTCTCTCAGCCCCACCTACCTCACAGGGTGTCTGTTGTGGGGAGGGAAAGGGAAAGGAGATGGTAAGCCACTCTGAGACTACGAGTGAAGGGTAGGGTATAAATCCAATCTCTTCTTCTACAAAGTGTCTGAAGAGTGCTGTAAAAGAAACAAACAGATCAGGGACAGTGGCAACAAAAATGGATGCAATAAAAATGATAAAAAGGTAGCATATACCAGTGACCCGCCGCCATGGGGCCTATGGTAGGGTTTCAGGTCCCCCCTGGCAACCAGGGGGGAAATGGAGGTGGACTTACCAGGACCAGCAGGGAGGCCCATCTAACATCCAGCAATATGTCCACGTCACTACCCATGTGACCCGGAAAGAACATCATTACTTCCGGGACATCGGGGTGAAGCTCTGGTATTTAGGCAAAAACTCTAGGGTTTTCTGCCCCCCAAAAAACAGAGTGGAGACATCAGGGGTGACATGCCTATGTCACCCAGAAGTCATGTAGACACATCAGTGATGTGGGGGGGGTGATGCTCTGGTTAAGAACATCTCTCCTTATATAATTGAATAGTGGGTGCCAAAGTTCTAATTCTAAAATGCACTCCCTTAGTGTATGGCTGATGGCACTGCTCCTCAGCATATATCGCCACCAATCAGAAGGCAAAGCCTGGGTCCCACCCACACCACAACTGCTGCGACAACCTGGTCTTTTGCATATGGAAGCTGATTGGACTTCACTCCATTCCACACCTCAAACTCCCCCCCCAAGGCAGTTGGAATGTCAGTTGCATATGGAACCACTGTATTCTGGTGCTGTGCAGGTCCCAGGTTCATGTTTTAAAAGCAGACTAATACTGTTTGCCCAAAGCCAGAGCACTCTCCCAGAGCCTCTCTTTCTAGATCTCGTTGTATTTATTTCCAGAAATACCAGTGCCATCAGGAGGTCCACCAGTGGGGCCAGGACATTAGAAGCCATCCCACTGTTGACCCCCCCCCCAAGCACCAAGATGACAGAGCATCACTTGCCCCAGAGTCCCTATCTATCTATTTTTGGGCCAAACTCTATGGTTTGAAGCTAATTGTACCATAGAGTTTTGCCCAAAAAACAGAGTGTGGCCCCCAACATAACCAATATGCCTAAATCATTTCTGGGTGACGTAGGCACGTCACATTTGGGGTGGTAACTCTCCCTCAACAGCCTTCTGGATGGTGCTGGGGGGAGCATCGGAAACCACTGGACCCTGCATGCACCAGAAGACCTGGCAAACCTAATTTTCTCTAATGTGATCGATGTAATGTGGAGTTCAGCTTTATACTGCCTTGGTAAGCCCAAACCTGGAGTCCTGTGTGCAGTTCTGGGGGCCTCACTTCAAAAAGGATGTGGACAAAATCGAGAAGGTGCAGAAGAGAGTGAAGAGGATGATCAGGGGTCTGGAGACTGAGTCCTACGAGGAAAGGCTGAGGGCCTTGGGAATGTTTAGTCTGGAGAAGAGGAGATTGTGGGCGGGACATGATTGCTCTCTTTAAATATTTGAAAGGATGTCATTTGGCAGAGGGCATGGGGCCGGTGTTCCCTCTAAGCTGAGTTAGTGTGAGCTAGCTCACAGTTGTTTAGTTTCCAGCTCACACATTTTTGTCTTAGTTCAGGAAGGATGGCTCCAGAGCAAACTAAGTTATGCAGTAGCCAAGTCACTCGCTCACATCTTTACTGCCAGTAGCTCACAAAGTAGAATTTTTGCTCACAAGCAGGGGTCATTTCCTGCAGGAGCGCACAGGAACGGAGCTCCGCAGTAAAGAGCCCAGGGGGCGGGCACATGCAACTAGCCCCACCCCCTGCTTCCAGCAGCCCTCAGTCAGAGCAAGAAGCAGCCAGGTAAGTTGCAGAGCTCCCCCCGGTCCAAAACAGGCCAGTGGCACCTTTAAGACCAAGGTTTATTCAGGTACAAGCTCACCCTCCTCTGTGAGGACAGATCTGCATCCCCCCCCCCAATAGCTAGCAATCCAAAATAGTCCAGTGGAGCCTGAGCGGTGGGTGTTGCCTTCTGACACACTTCCGGTGATGTCAGGGGGCGTGGCATATGCAAACGAGTTATGCTAATGAGCTCCTGCACCTCTTTTTCTACGAAATGACCCCTGCTCACAAGACTCTACAGCTTAGAGGGAACATTGCAGGGGGCTGTTCCATTTGGCAGCAGAGGAGAGGACCCGAAGCAACGGGATTAAATTACATGCAGAAAGGGATCGGCTGGATATTAAGAAAAACCTTTTCCTGGTCAGAGTGGTTCAAAGGTGGAATCAGCTGCCTAGAGAGGTGGTGAGCTCCCCTTCACTGACAGCTTTCGAGAAGAGGCTGGACGGATATTTGTCAGAGATGCTTTAGGCTGGTCCTGCATTGGGCAGGGGGTTGAACTAGATGGTCTATATGGCCGCTTTCAACTCTATGATTCTATGAATTCTGGGAGAACTTCGGGCCCCACCTAGAGTGTGTGGCAAGCTTACGGGTCCCCAGATTTATATTATATCATTTTAAATTACTGTAAGTTGTTTGTGGGGACAGAGATGCATCTGGAAGAATTTCTGTGAGCCACTCTGAGTCCAGGGGACAGGAAAGGGTATGAATAAATGCACATATACTTCAATAAATAAACATCAATCCATTTATATACCTCCTCCCCCTCCACCACCACATAGAGGTACACCCTGGCAACTGGCAAAAGGGGGAGGGATAGGGGGACTCACTATCTGAAAAACTAGGCCCAACCTCGCATCACCTTGACGTGGTGATGTCACTTCTCGCATGTACCAGAAGTGACATCACGTCTCAGGAGCTGCAGGGACGCTCTGGTATTTGAGCAAAAACTCTATGGTAAAAGTCATTTTTTATCACAGAGTTTTTGCCCAAATAACCGAAGCATTCTTGAGTTGCTGTTATGGAGTCATTTCTGTTGTGCATTGGAAGTTATAACTCTAGGGTTGCCAGCTATGCGTGGGGAAATACCTGGAGATTTGTGGGGTGGAGCCTGGGGAGGGCAGGGTTTGAGGAGAGGTGGGACCTCAGCAGGGTACAATGGCACTGAGTCCACCCTCCGAAGTAGCCATTTTCTGAGTCTGTCATCTGGAGATCAGCTGTAATATCAGGAGGTCTCCAGGCCCACCTGGAGGTTGGAAAGCCAAGCTGTATCCACATCACTGGTGATGCAGGCCTAGGTCTAGTTTTCCTTCAGGTAAGACCATCACTGGCCAGCTGATTGTCACTGGGGAAGGGGGCCCAGAGCATGGGATCTCCTGCTCCCAGCAGAGGTCTTGAGGTAAAAAGAATCTAGATGAAAGATCCACAGTGCTTCTTGTTGTAATGAAATCTTACTAATATCCAGGGGTCATTTCCTGCAGGAGCGTACAGGAGCGGAGCTCCGGCAGTAAAGAGCCCAAGGGGCGGGCACATGCAACAAGCCCCACCCCCTGCTCCCAGCAGCCCCGGGCCACGAGGAGCAAGATGCAGCCAGGTAAGCTGCAGGGCTCCCCCCAGTCCCCCGGTCCAAAACAGTCCAGTGGCACCTTTAAGCCCAAGTTTTATTCAGGTACAAGCTCTCCCTCCTTTGCGAGGACAGATCTGCACGTTCCCCCCCCTCCACATAGCTAGCAATCCAAAACAGTCCAGTGGAGCCTGAGCGGTGGGTGTTGCCTTCTGACACACTTCTGGTGATGTCAGGGTGTGTGGCATATGCAAATAAGTTATGCTAATGAGTTATGTTAATGAGCTCCTGCACCTCTTTTTCTACGAAATGACCCCTGCTAGTATCTACATAATTATATATTTTATTCCAAGATCTGTAAATAACCAAAAACTTCAAAGAGTCAGGAGAAAGGTTGCACCGAACAAAATGAGCAACAAGAGGAGCCCCCATGATTTTATTGCGTATGCAGGACTGGTGCTCCAAAATGTGGGTTTTTACAGGTCTTATTGTAGTGCCCACATATAATTTCCGACAAGGGCAGGTCACCACATAAACACAACAGTTCATGGTGCAACAAAGAGAATGGCTTAAAGTGACCCTTTAACCAGTATTCGGATGAGTGGATTCC